TCCCTTGGGGAAGTTTTCTCTTGTTTTTCCCCTGTTGGGGGGTCCCCCCCCCCCCCCGCCCCTGCCCTGGATTGCTGCAAAATACAAACTGAGATCATGAGTAGAAAGGCAAGATCTCAGACTGGACTGCGGGGAACTGCAAAAGACAGTAGAGTGAATATAATTCCATTTTAGAGCAATAGGTGCCTCTTGTTAAATAATGCCCACTGCTTCATGAATTCTTCATTGGTTGTGCATGACAGAAATACTAGCTGCATTGACATATAAAGCTAACCCAGCCTTTTTAAAACCTGGTTTGTTAAACAAGCCACAGTGGCTTGATTTGCATATAATACTTTGGGGCGGGGGGCTGAGCAACCATAAACTGTATGGGGCCACTCACCACTTCCTTTATCATCTCCAGCACTGGAATTTGAGGTGCTGGAATTTAGCCACATTTCAGTAGCATAATTTGGGAGTGATTTTAAAGAGGGGGTCTGGAGTGGTGTGTCCCTAGAAGGCCACCCTTTTTGCCGAAAGAGCAGAAAAATGCACAGAAAGCCCCCCCAAAAAACCAAACCTGCCAAAACCAAGTTGATAAAATTTGGCCATGCCTTGTATGACACCATTGCTGGGTCACCAGATGACTTTTGCCTCCCTCTGGAGCAGCGTTTCTCAACCTTAGCAACTTTAAGCTGTGTGGACTTCGACTCCCAGAATTCCCCAGCTCTCTGCCAGCTGCATGGTCCTGATGCAACCTGATTTAAAAAAAAATGTTTCCAAGTACAGACGTGTAGCGTTTGGATCTAAAGTGGGAAATCTAGGGAGGGCTCGCTTGCTGACCTTGTGGATGGCTGGCTCTTTAAAAAAGCAACTGACAGGTATAGTGAGCAGACCCACTCTGGATTTCCCACTTTTGAAGTTTGTTGAAGTTTACCTCAAAAATAAAGCAGTGTACTTATATCCTTTCAATCCACTCTAATATGGCAAACAAAAAATTGAGAAGAGGAAAATGTTTTATAAAAATGGCAGAGAGAATAATATTTAGTCTTTGTTCCACCAGCACCATGGTGTCCTCCCCTGCTTTTTAAAGAGAGAAGAAAACAGATTTCATGCATTTTGCCTCAGTTGTGTCTGTCTGTCCGTTTGTTTGTAGCCCAGGTAATTGGGAAGAATGGGCTGGAGCTGACTTAATTGGACCTAGGCTCTGAAACCAACAGGATTTAAGTGAGGGAAGGCCAATTGATTTCACTGACTCTAAATGGGATCAAGTTTGAATCTACTTCAGTGGGTGTATGCCTGTTTGCTAAACAATTTTTGTGGGCCTACTAGAAGGTGGCAATCTTCTGTGGCCTTCATATGAATCTGAGCTTGTGGGTTTATTACATTGTGTTCCTCTGCAAAGGAGAGCAGAGTACATTCACATGGATATTAAGTGTTGGAAGGTGAGGCTATGAAAGTTCAGTCACCAGGAAACAAGACATGGTGTGTTTACTGTTTTAAGAGTTAAATCTTTGGAACCAACTAAGAGCCTTGCCTTCTGGGATGTTGTTGAGTTTACAGCCTGGACTTGCCAGTTAATTCCCTATCCAAATACTACTTGGCAGAATTTGCTCTTTCCTAGATCATCCAAGGTCAACTAAGGGCTGCCTCCTAGCTGGCAAGCCAACCCCTTTTATGGCTTAGATTTCAAGTCACTGGTTCACAGTGACGTTTTGTGGCTGAGTTGGGATTTGACCATGAGTATCCTCAGCCTGGATGGGGAAACCATCCAGGGATATGGCCATCAGCATTCATGTACAATGCATTGCTTCTTAGGGCACCAAACTTACCCTAAATCAGCAAGAAGGCTAACTGTTCTCAAGTCTATGTTGGAACTGCATATGAACATTTAGGTTGTCCAAAGCCTTGCAGGAAAATGTCAGAGTTTTCTGTGGTGCACAAGGCTTATGTGATACTTTCTTTGACATGCCACTTTTTTCCCTTTCTCTCCTGCCCCCCCTTTTTTTTATGTTGGGCCAGGATGAAAAGTATTGGAATAGGCGGTACAAGAACAATGAGGCAGCAAAACGCTCGAGAGATGCTCGCCGCCTGAAAGAGAATCAGATCACTGTTCGGGCAGCCTTCCTGGAGAAGGAGAATGCGGTCCTTCGCCAAGAAGTGGCCAACATCCGCCAGGAACTAACCCGCTACCGCAGCATCCTCTCTAAATATGAATCGCAGCACGGCACCTTGTAAAATCCGCAGCAGGGTGTTCTGCTCTTCTCCAATATCCGCCACCAAGGTGGAAGGGCCACCCTGGTTTTTCAACCCAGACCCCCGTCTTCCCGACCCGGGCAAACAAATAATCCAACACCAGATGTTTGGAACAAGGGAAAGGTCTGCGGCGAGCACTTTCCACCTGCAGGGACTAACTGTGGTTCTGGGTGCACAAAGGAGAGTTCCTGGGTTGGCATGGCCTACCCCTCACCCAGAACAGGACAGCAGCCGAGATGTTGGACTGGGCGTCGTAGATACCTGGAACACACAAGGGCTTTGTAGCACGTTGGAAGATGTATTGCACACACATACACGTACATGTACACGCACATTCTCTCTAGACCTATATCCTAGAGTTTGGCTTTTTGGTGAACTTTTCTATCCAAAGGGCAGAATTCAGTCACAGACCGTCACATCTGCATACCTCTGTCCTGTATGGCATTGGGATGGGCCTTGGATATGGATGACCCAGGAGCCCTTCAGGCACATCTCGGTGCCTGGGCTCGGTCACACACACATATTTTTTCAGCAGATGATTGCACACAGTTTAACCCTTTTTCATTTCATCCATCGACTCTGGAGTTATGGTTAAGGGACACGTAAGCCAATGCAAGCCAGCTACAAAAGTGGATGTGATATCCAGGTTTTCTGGGCTCACCCCCACCCCCCAACCCCAGTTAAACCACTATGACTCTACATGCCCCTCTCAAGCCTAGGAGTCTTGGACACCCTGAATGAAAGATCCTTCCTCTTGAGACCAGTAAACACCAGGACTCTACTGTCTACAGAACGCCAAATTAAATCAAACGGGTTGCACACACTCATTTTATTTCCACACTTGGCCGAAGGGGGCTTTACATCTGATGGCAAGACTAGGGGTTCTTAGTTTAATTATTACAATTATATTATTCTCTCTGTTTTTAGTTAAAAAGGCAAGTGATTGAGTCTGTTTCCTCCTAGCACTGCCCAGCGTAGTGTCATGTGTACAGAAATGTTAAAACACGAGACCTCATTTGTGACCCTCCTAAATATGAAATCTATATAAATACATACATACATATATATATATATGTATATATATATAAAGTTTTGTTTCATCTCTTTTTTGTAAAACAGACAAAATGTGTGGTTTGTATGTGTGTGTATTTATATATGTGTATATGTATATACACACAGCCACATTCACTCCAGGCAAGACTTAAAAGAGATTAAACTATGTTCTTCTATTAAGGGAAGGATGGTTCTTTCGTACAGAAAGGGGATGCTGGGCAAACATTTTTTAAATCTCCTTTGGAGAGATTCCTAATCTTTTTAATTTTCCATGTAACAGTGTTGTTAAGAACTTTTGGGGAGGGTTTGATGGCAGTTTCCCCCCCACCCCTCCCAAAAGATGTTTACAATTATATGCTACAAGCAATGAGGAATAAAGGAAGATGGGATTTAAAAAACAATCACCAAATACTTTTTCTGTCTCTGTTCACATACCTGTCTGTAGACGGAACGCAGACATTCGCGCATGATAGTTCCTTTGTGCTGTATCAGCTTCTATTTTTATACGCCGGGTCACATTTGGCTTTGGGTCAAGCAGCCATTTTCCTGTTGGTTGGCTTGTTTTACAGTTCCCTTGTAATACAGGTTGGGAGAGACTGTTTATGCAGGAGAAAGTGAATAAGGAAAGCAACTTTCTTTGCTGTAGTAAGAGAACCTTGCGACGCCTGAAAGACTAACGAATATATTGCCACATCACGATTACGTGCCATCAAGTCATTGTTGACTGTTAGCAACCAAGTAGATTTTCTTCCACCTTTCCCAGCATGACAGCCTTTTCCAGAGAGCTGGGTCTTCATGTAATGTGTCCAAGGTAGGATAATTGGAGCCTGGTCATGTGTGCCTCGAGTGAGAACTCTGGATTGATTTGTCCAATAATCCATTGTTTGTTTTCTGATTGGTTTGTTTTTTTTGGCTGTCCATGGTGTTTTCAGGAGTCTTCTCCAACAACCAAGTCCAAAAGCATCAGTACTCTTCCTACCTTGCTTCTTCAAACTTTTGCTTCCATAGAGTGTCAGAGAAGACCTTGGATTGCATGATTCTGATCTTTTATATTGCCCCATAATAGTCCACTTCACTAGATGCATGGAGTAAAGGCAAATACAGGGTGTCATGTAAGTTCTACTGTTCAAGCCTGTAGCCTCCGGAATGGTGAGCTTCCCATTATCCCAGTGTTGTCCAAACTTGGCCACTTTAAGATGCTGGCTGGGGAGTTCTGGGAGTTGAAGTCCACTCAAAGTGGCCAAGTTTGGACAACACTGCATTATCCTAATCCTTAGCAATGTTGGCTAGTGCTTGCGAAAGAGATCCAGCATTATCTGAAGGGCCAAAAGTTTCTTAAGCAACTTACAGGTTGGAGACTGGACAGTGATGTCCCAACCTTTGGAGAAATCCAGCCACTCCCAGTTCCTGGAGTTTTGTTAGGCAAGCAGTAGGTCATGGTCTGAGATGTAGTTGTGTAGCAGCAGCATAGGTAAAGCAGGGGTGATCAGATCAAGTCTTGAATAGAAGGCAGTTGCGAGTGCTCCTCTGCTGGGAAGTCTCACAGCCTGAGGGCAGAGAATGCTTTCCCCCAATTCCAGCTTCTATGTTTTTAGTAAAATATTAGGCACTGAGCTTTGAGTACAACTCCAAATCCAACTAGTCTTTAACTGCTGCTGTCAGATTAAGCTAGTCTATGTCTTGAGTTATCATTCCTCTATCTCAGTGTTTCTCAACCTTGGCTACTTTAAGATGAGTGGACTTCAACTCCTGGAATTCCCCAGCCAGCATTGAAGTCCACACATCTTAAAGTAGCCAAGGTTGAAAAAACACTGCCCTACCTGATCCTTCTAGATGTGTTCAACACACACAGCCCTCCAGCCAGTGTGGCCTTTGGTAACTTCACAGGTATGTCTCACATGGTTCTATATTTGTGTCATAAAACAAGAGTCTCCTTTGAAATAGTCTTCACTCCTGGTGACTTCAAAGACCCTTCTCTGGAGTTCTCTTGGCAACAATAGGGTCTTGCTCCTACCTCCTTCTTAACTTCATAATCTACCCTACAATACCCATTTCCTACTGGTTATCCATCCATGTAACTATCCTGATTCAACTCAAGCCACTAGCTGGACTCCAGATTTGTAAGAAGGTCAACTAGTAGCAACACCACTCCTTGCCCCACGGTTGGAGATGTGCAGCTATGTGTCAGACTTGGGCCAAGGCCTCCCTTTCTAACAGCTACTCCATGTATGTATTTAGAACACAGCCTGCTTCATTACTGTGGAGAGGGTAATCCATTAACGAATAGAAACACACAAAGTCTGAAAGTGATAAAACAATTGCTGTTACTACTCAGAGCAACAGCATCACTTTGTATTAAAAGTGAATTGTTTGCTACCTCTCAGAGTTACTGCTGGAGTGGGAAAGGTGTGCAGCTAGTCCACGTGAACCAGGTGATTGTGAAAGAAAAGCAAGGGAGATCTGCAAATAATAATAATAATAATGATTAATGCAGCATCTGAAAGAGTAAGCAGACTTTCACAACCCCCCCCCCCACAAAAACCCTCCAAATAACCTTTGTGATGGGACCTCATCAAAAGTTAGAATATATTGTGAAAATCCAGTTATATTAAAAAGAAATGAAAACATTCACATAGTATGTACTTTTTTTTTAAAGCAAGTGGTAACCACTGGCTTCATAAACTGCACTAAGCCATAAGCAGCATGGGGGGGTGGGGGGGGTGGCAGAGCATGATGCATGACTAATTGGGCCAGGGACTAAACCAGGGTTTGCTGTTGGCTTTTGGATTATAACTGGGCAAAGGGAGCTATAGAGTTTGTGACTTATGCTTCCTTCTGTTCATTCCTTTTTTGAAAAAAAAAAAAATCTGACCAAGATTGTAAATAATCCTCTGACGAGTGATACAAATCAACTTTTGAAAAAAGGGAGGGGAAGCAAAGCAGGAATTGACCAGGAAACCACAAAGCATGTAAATTTGGTTCATCTGTAAAATTGATTCTGCTTGTTTTGAATCTTTAACAAGCCATATTCAAAACAAGCCAGGGCTTCTTAATATTGTTTGTATGTGTGTTTGTGTGTGAGAGAGAGAGACAGACAAGACAGTCAGTTGTTGGGCCCACTGCTGAGGCAACTCAACCAAGCTTCACTGTTACGCAGTGCAACCATTGTCAATGGAGTAAGTAAAAAAATGAAATTAGATCTATGGGATGAATGCCAGCTGCAACCAAGGCCAAACCATCTTCAAGCACAATATGGCTAACGTTCTACTATTTTAAGTGATCAATCATCTTTACAGTCAAGCTGAGTTTGGAAAGGGAAGGGATTGTACATGGATTTGTACAAAGGGGTTTAAAGAAGAGCTTTAAATCGTTTTGATTTACAAAACAACCCTCTGTAGGAACAAGCCAACAGGAGAATGGCTGCTGTGGCTTTTCTCCACATCACCGTGGAGAGGTTTTTGCAGCTATTTTATTTGTAAGCCCGTTTGTGCTCCATCTCTGCCCCACTCCCTTGGTTTTTTACAAAACTCTTTTAACATTTTCGGCAAAAAAGATGTCTAATCATCACAGTGTGGCTGCCACCTTGTGCCCGAAGTCAGTCCTTGCAGCTCTAGGGTCTTATTTAGGGTGTATGCTTTATAAAGGGGGGGGAACAATACCAAGTGCCTCTCCTACCCCTCTTCGTAGCTCCCTCCAAACAAAGCTTTCCCATTCTTTTGAGATATGGAACATACCAAAACTAACCCCATTATTATTATTATTATTATTAT